TGATTGTGATTCCATTCCATATCATTGTTAATTTATAGACTTATTGATTCAATTCCTATTGTAACTTTGATTTGATAACTGTGTGTTTAATTCCTGCTTAGTTTAGTAAGAAGGTACAGTAATTAGTCTTTTGCTGAAAGTTTAATTTTAAGTTTCTTTAATGTATAATAAAATCCATAAAAAAGCATATAGAACTGTTTTGTTTTCTTTTTTTCCACAATTACAACAAGGGTCATGAATCCTGAAGGCAAAGGTAATTTAAATGAGACATGTGCGAGCTATAGTTCTTCCCTTAAATTAATACCTACGTACGGCATATAATCCAATTAGACTTCAGATAGGACCTGGTACTAATTTGGGTGGTCAAGAATCTCCCTAGGATATCGGAGAGAGGAAAAATGCACTGCCTGACACTTCAGTGGCCTTTGATATTGCTGGTCACAGGATGTTGCTCAAATCATGACAGGACTTGGCCTGGGTGAACAGAACCTGCACCTGCTCATTCTGTTCTGAGTGATCCTTCACAATGGTTTGGGGCAATCGCTCTCAGCTGTGCAGGACCTGGGCTCAATCCTAACATCTTTTCAGTTCAACATCAATATGAAGTCCCTCTAGGAGATCATCCAAAAGGGCTGCAGTGTCCTCAGTATGCTTATGATACCCAGTTTTATATCTCCCTTTTATTCACTCCAGGCTGGCACATCACCCGATCTCTGCCAGTAACTGGAATCTGAATGAAAACCAACTAGCTGAAGCTCAGTCTGGACAAGACAAGTGTGATGGTCAACAGCAGGAAGAAGGGGAACGTCCTTAACCACTCTATCAACTGGGGGCAGCTGCCTGACCATTAGTAAAGTGAGCCTATATCTCAGGGTCTTATTAGTGTAAGGAAGACTTGTCTGTGCCTGCTGTGGCTCAGCTCCCTGATTCCATCTGCCACAGGCAACACACTCACTCTCCTCTAAGCCTACACAGACCCACACTCTCTCTCCAGGTTAGTGGTAAGCACACACCAATCCCTGTGCTCTCTTAGCATCGCCCTATAGTGCCTAGCCTGTCCAAAGGACACTCACAGAACTCATACATTCGCTGCTTCCAAAGGAAAAGTATACCACAGCTTACCAGTCATACCTCAGATCACCACTCCACTTAACATATAGCAGGTAAATAGGTTTATAATGAAAACAAGTAAAAGTTTATTTAACAAAGTATAGATTCAAGGAGCAGAAACAAATAGTTACATATAAAATAAAAATCATCTCATACATTATAGAACCTAGAGTTAATTAGATACTTAAATTAGACACTTAATTCGATACTTTAATATCTAACAGAGCAGCGCTCACCAAAATCCTTCTAACATTTTACAGCCACGCTTGGCTGTGACCCTCCAATCACGAGACAAGTCACACTGTCAGCTTTCCTCCTCAATTCATCCTGGGATATATCCCAACAATCCACTGTCTTTATGGGATCCCTTCTTGCTGTGTATTTCCTCCTATAAATTTCTTCTCTTGCAGATTTCACAATCTCTTAATTAACATTTGGCTCAATATGCGAATAGGTATCCATTGTGAGATAAACAATGTCCAATACACACATGAAGAGACAGAGAGAAAAGTGGCTGTTACCTCTTGCTTGAAAGGAACCTGTACAAGATGCGTCACTTCCTGGTTACTTGCCTTAAGAACAAAATTCTCTGTCCAGACACACACCTCCTTAAATACGGTATTATCCATCCATACATTTCACAATGATTATGCTGACCAAGGGGCTACTGGCTCTTGGTAGAGATCTCACATGCCATCTTAGTGAATTCTTATGAACACATCTGACCCAAAGGATCTCTCTGCTAGCTGGCATCAAGACGTTAATGAATCATACCATCCTCTTGCCCCCCTTTTTTTTGCATCATGCCAACTGCTCACCAGTTCTCAGTCCAGTGCTGGGGTAGAGAGAGGCAGCTACTAAAAGCACTTTTTTTTGCATTACAATGAGTACAGATGCTGAATGCTAGGTCTTTGTCTCTCTGGACACTGCTAAGCAACCTATGGCATCAAACCCTAACGCTTCTCTCATCTGGTAATTAATACTATATTGTCTATGTTTTATATATGAAAAAAATTCCACTGGCATATTGGTAAAAATAACTTCACAGCCATAAGGAAGTGAGCAGAGTGCAATATTTCACAGATGTAAGCAAAACCCAGCAACCTTTGCAGCATTTTAAACAGGTTTATAGCATACAAATGAATACAAGTATGATGATTAAGTTATTTTTTATCAGTATTTATTATTATTATTCATTTGTATTATGGCGCTTAGGAGCCTCAGTCATGAACCAGGACAAAATTGTGCTAGGTGCTGTACAAACACAGAAGACGACAGTCCCTGCCCCAAAGAGCTTACAATCTAAATATCTGATCATGCCCTCTCACTTTCCACCATACCACTCTTCAGAATTGTCTTGAAATCAAGCTGTAAGTTGAGAAAGTTTACATAACAACAGGAAAATAGTCCAAGTTAGTGTAACATTCTAACAAAGTAAATAAATAAATAGGTCACGCAGACCAATTCTGTGCATATGTATTCATGGATGCTGGAACAATTTTTATAGTGGAGGTACTGAGAGCCATTGAACCAAACTGTAAACCCTGTATATAATGGAAACCACTTCTAGCCAGGGGATGCAACAGCACTCCTGGCACCCTTAGCTCCAGCACCTATGTATGTATTTAATAAAAACATTTTTCTACTAAAATTGTGTGAAATTTTTCAAATATATAAAAGCCATAATTGGAATACTGAATGTGTCTACACACATCCTCAGGGCCCTAAGTTTTGGACTTGTGGTTCCCATGCTGCTGCCAGAACATGCTTACTTGTGTAAATATTCATATCTTCTCAACTGAAACCTAGAGACTCATATGCTATTATACAATATGTGTAAAGCAGCTAGCTTACTCCATAGATATACTGACACACAAAAATGCTATGTTGCAAGTTATTGTTACATATGTAACATATTAACATATAACCACAAAAGGTAAGGCATCTAACAGTACATGTCTTTTCCTGTCTCACCCAGAGAGACACAGCTCACCATTAGAACCACCACACTACAACACAGACAAAACATCAAAACCTAGACCAATAAGCATATCAGGCTTCCCGCATCCCCTGTTCCAAACTTCCCACCACCATGAACCAACCAGAGTTCTCCTAAACTTTCTGCCCTACTATCTGTTCTGCACATTTCTGGAAAAGTCACATTCACATATATCCTCCATTGGGTACCTGTGGCATATAAAGATTGTTCTTTTTCATTGTATATTTAATCAAACAAACCAATCTACAGGAAAACTAGATAAATGAGACCACAGGAGAAGCAATAAATAAAATGTGGTCTGTGACCCAGATGTGTACGTCCTACTCCTAAGAAGTATTCATTGGTTTTATACTAGTTTAAAAACATGTTATTCCTATTAATATGAATTGGCATCACATTAGTACATTTGTCCCACATTTATAATGTCAATATAACTTTGTCAGAATTAAATGGCAATTTGGGCCTCTAGAAGATACATCTGTGGCCCACATCCTGCAGGATGATATGCCTGGGTGGACTCCTCTGCTCATGTGGAGCCCACAGTAGCACCTGCATGGATTCGTTTTCAAGATTGGGGTTCATATTATTACTTCATGTTGTATCATTCCAGGATGAAGTTTTAAAAAAAGAACATTTTAAAATAGGAAATCCAATTGGCATTAATGAATAACATGCAACTTCAGTGGTATGCTGCATTTAATTAATTAAGGCCTAAAGGATTTTTATGGGATTCTAGTATACACTGACATCATTTTCCTTTTTAAAATGAAAGATTCAGGGCATTTTTCCATGAAAGTACCATTTGTGTATAAAGTTGTATAAATTAAACACCTTGGGTGGCTCATACTATAGATTAGTTGTGCAAGGCATTAGCTAGAAAAAAATTAAAAGTTATTAGTGCACTTTTCATATACCCCGGTTTTGAACGGACATAGAAACTAAAACTGTTCTAAGAGTGGTCTCTCTAAAATAGATCATGGTTGATGTACACTGGCAGGGCAGCAGACAGAAGTTTGCAGATGCCATTGTCTATAATGTCCCTGCACATAAATAAACAAAGGACTTCAAAAATACATTTTGTGAGTATTAAATTTATCAAGAGGAAAAAAATCACCTGGGAAGAAAGGTGGACAGAATACTGTTGTTTTGTCCAATCTGTTCTTAAAAACCTCCAATTCTGGGAATATGTACTGCTCACATTTCTTACTTGGAACAGGGTTCCCTTTCACATACAACTGTCAGAGATAGTCTAGGTTTACTTGGTCCTGCCACAAAACAGGGGGCTGGACTTGATGACTTCTCGAGGTCCCTTTAACTCCTACATTTCTATAATACTATTTAGTACCATACCAGAATGGCATGGTTTAAGAAGGAATGATAAATTAACTCTGAATTCTCCTTGTTATTTTGTATTTAAATCAGATCCTTAAACCTATAAAGACATACAGCTGTTTAAAGAAATACGTCAATGGTATTAGCTCAGAGAGAGTGCAGGATTCCGAACAGAGGACTAAAGAAAGAGGAGCAAAAAAGGGATGCCTACCATTAATGGGGGATTTAAAAGCAAAAATATGTCCCACATACTAAGTGGAACTCTGTTTAAAAATACACTCAGAAGCCAGATATCTTCCTGATAGTGTTACACCTTTTTGTGGCCTTTGATACAGTTGATTATGGTGTTGCTGAAATGACTGCATAAACTGGCATGGGGAATGGAAACACCAGAGATCTACTCTCTCTGTCCTGATTGATCTCACAGGATGATGCTGAGCAACTGCTCTCAGCTGTACAACCACCAGGGCTCAGTCTTGTCAATGCTGGCTCTGAATGCCCAGATGTGTGGAAATGATGTCTGCCTAACCTTCCCAGTTCCAATCCTTTTGCCTCTCACCTGATACCAACTTGGTGTCTCCATCACCTCTGAATTTGGCCTTAATTTCAGTTTATCCAACATGAGCTGCACCGACCAGCCAAACTGAAATAGAAACAAGGTTAGCTGGTGTTGTGTTTATACACAACAATAGTGACACCCTTTCACCCCACCAGCTCCTCTCTCACTGCCTTGTACCATTGATGACTCGTGTCTCCCCATACTGGCGGGGATGGGGGGCGAGGGGGTGGCAGACCCACATCCTAAATGGGAGGACCATGTGTCTCCTCTGTCCAGCAATCCCACCCCTGCCATGCACCCAACCAGAGTTACCACCAGAGTGGGCTCTGTCCATCTCCTGCTGTGTGTTCCCCCACCCCCACCAGGCCGCTCTCCCTGCGTTTCTCATGCGGCTCAAGCTGGCCACTCCAGGTCACTGATCTGTGCAGCAGCTGCCTGAGAGAGCCTGGCTGGGGCGGCAGCGGGCCACTCCCCACCCAGGCCCGGCTGCTGGGGACAGGAGCCGAGCAAGCCAGAAGCATGCCTCTCTCCCCAGCAGCCGGGCCCGGGCAGGGAGTAGCCCAGCCAGGCTCTCTCAGGCAGCTGCTACACTGCAGTGACCCAGAGTGGCTGGCGTGAGAAGCTGCTGGTCCCACCCCTTCCAGTCCCTGCTCGGACCTGGCTGCCAGGGACAGGGGCCACGCTTGCTGGGGGGCAGGCACAGCGGAAGGACAGAATCCCTCTGCCCTGGCAGGCCAATCTAGGGGGCCACTGAACCCCACATGCTCCCCTACGTGTCACCTCTGCCTTGTACCACCTCTCTGCCCCTTTGGTCTCAGCCTGAACGAAGTGTTTTCCCCCGGCCTGGCGTTAGCAGTGCTTAATTGGTAATGAAAGAGGTACTGGGGCTCAAGCAGCATCTTTACTTTCGTAACTGACACAGTAAGACCAGAGGTGCCCGGGGTCAGGCCTGTCGGGGCTCAGAACAAGCACAAATTAAGCAGTGGATGATAGCCTAGCTGCCACCCACTCCAGCCGACTAGAGGCCACCAGCCTGTCCCCCTCCCGATTCAGGATCCCCCAGTCCCAGCTAACCGGGTTTCTATTTGGCCGACTACTACAGCCCAAGCTGGATAAACTGCCCCTCCTCAAGCAGTGTCCCTGGGTGCACCCACCTCAACCAGCCCCAGGCCAGCCTATGTCGTCTAGGTCCCACCACGCCCCCGTCAGAGCCTCCTCCCCCATGTACCCCCCCCCGCATCATCACTGCTCGGGCCCGGCTCCGCCCGCTTCCTTCGCCGCCTGGCGCTCCCCGCTCCCCCGCCCGGAGGGAGGCAGACGGATGACGTCACCGGATCAGGCCGACCGGCAATGGGCGCCATTTTGAAACCCCAAAACCTCCAGCGGCTGCAGCTGTGTGCGGCGGCGGCGGCTCTGACCCGGTCCCGGCCGGCGCCTCCCCGTCGTGGGCCCCGCAGCCCCCCGCCCCACACACACTGCGCGACATGGCAGGTGAGAGAGGCGCACGCCGCGCCGCGGCCGTCAGCTGGGGAGGCCTGGGCCTGGCCTAGGGTAGGGGCCAGGTGGAGGGCGCTCTGCCTTCTGAGCAGGGGCGGGCAGCGAGTCAGGCCTGGGCGGGCAGCGCGGATCCGGGGCATGGGAGACCGAGCTGGCTCGGCGGGGCCAGAGGGCTGGCCGGGTTCGGGGTCGAGCCGGACCGCGTGTGGGCCTCGGGTAGAGGGGCAGGGCCGAGCCGGTGCTGGGTGGGGGTTGAGCCGGGCTGGGTACTGAGGAGCCTGGCCAGGGCTGGGTAGGGGGAGCTGGGGCCGGGTTAGAGGTCAGCTCGGCCTCCTGGGGGTTAGGTGCCCGGGGCCCAGTTGGGGTTGCCCGCGCCGCTCGCCCTCACCGCGCTCTGTCTCCGCAGGGGTGGCAGGAGGTGGCGGAGGAGGAGGTGGTAACGACTTCCAGTGGTGCTTCTCCCAGGTGAAGGGGGCTATCGACGAGGACGTGGCGGAAGGTAAGACGGGGGACCTGGCGCTGCGGCCCGCGGTCGAGCAGGAATCACCGTGTCAGAGGGGTCCCCAGTCGGGGGTGTCAGTGTCTCCCAGTCCCGCGCTCAGTTTAATCCACCCCGGCCCCCGCCTTAGACCCAGACACCAACACCTATTTTTGTCCAACGCGTCGCGCATAACGACTCGTGCGGGGAGTCGGTGCTGGTGCTGCAATTCTCCTGCCCCAGTGTGAATCCCGGAGGATGGGGTGTGTGTAGGGGGGTGGTGCGATGACTAAGCTAGTGCCTGTGTTTTTCAGAACGGCTTGCTCTCACAAGATAGCATAACAGAGAAGGTGGCTTCCTCCTCTTCTTCATTTATAATCACTAGGGAGATGGGAGATTGACAGTGGTAAATTTTTTTAAAAAGAAAGGTAGTCAGACATGTCAAGTTTATGCCTTATGCGGAGAGGAAGGCTCCTTCATTAGGGGTACATGTCAAAAGCAGTGTTTAGAATTTCCCTGTGGCAATGAAGGATTTATTCATACCTGCTGACATTTGAAAGCTATAAATAAGGACATTTGGGTAGGAAATAAGTACCTTTTTAAGCACAATTGAAATATGTTAGACTTGTAGAGTATTTTGGAATAAGAATAGTAAAATGATAAATATATTTTGCTTTAACAAGTCCATCCCTTCTAAATAATCAAGATTGACGTGTATAGTGTTGCTATATGAGTTTCAATGAGTTACAGTCTCTGTTTTTAAAAGATCTCCCATATTCAGATTGTCCCAGTTTGAGATTCATGCTTGTAAAGAGGATGTCATATGGCTGCATACATCTGCCTCATGTATTTGAGTTTCTACTACATGAACTTAAAAAAATAAATAAATAAAACACACATACTTTAGCTACTTATGTGGATTGTTCTGGAATTACTTTTGAATGTATTTTTTCAGAGCGTAGTTAATTTTATCCATATTATTTTCCACTGCAAAAATATTATGAGTATGTTTTAGTTTTGTTTTGGGAAACACCATTTCCTCCAAATACCTGGCATGGGAAGACACTCAATTTATTGGAGCAGATAATATTCAGACTAGAGATGGGTGTATGTATCAGCTGTTTATTTCTATACTTGTAACTCCCTGCAAAGTTGTGAATTTATGTAAATTAATTATATTAATAGGTTTTCAGGTATTCCTGAAACACTGTCTTTGTTTCTTTAAACCACTTGTCAGTGAAAAAGCTTAAAGAGCCACCGCTGCTTATATTTTAAGAAACAATCCAGTTTGGGCAAAATATTTACTATGATAAAATTACCTTTCAGTCACTGTTGATTACCAGGATATTTGTATATAATCAGAAGCTCTCTCCTTTCTAAATAGCCAGTAAGTTTTACTACCTCATGCAGTGATTTTGTAACATCAGAATTCAATGTGCGAGAAATGTATATTATCAAAGAGCCAATGTACATCATTACAGGATGTATTGGCAAGTTAGAAAGACTTAAGCTCCATCCCTTGGCATAGTCAGTGATAGGAAAAACTGTATAGCTATAATTTATAAAACTCTTAACAATGTACTTTCCAACTATGGGCCTGATTTTAAGTACCTATTAAATCAACAGGAGTTCTGCCTAAGTGAAACAGAAGCACCTGTTGTGGCCTCATTCACTTTAGCATCATAAACTACATTTAATCTGGCAGTGATCTTGGCTCAAGGTGGCAGAAAGTCCACCCAAAAATGGCCTCTAGTATTGCAAGGCTCACATAACTGCTGGCCAGTGCAAATTGAAAGTAGACAGTACTTCCATCAGAAGGGGGACAGCCAGGGTTTCTAGGTAATGTGCTGATTCAGCTTATTTCTAAGCAACCTCCACCAACAGATCTCTTATTTAACACATGAGCATACTAAAATTGCCCTTCTGTTGTGGATCCCCCAGAGGATGATGGTGGTGTTTCCTACCCTATAAGATGAGTGAATCCCCCTTGTGTGCAGTGGGCCTCTTTGTTGGCATGGGGAGTGAGATCCGTGCTCGACTTAATCTCATTTCTTCAAGTGTGCACTGAGCCCAATATTTGTAAAAGTTTACCAGTGTGGTGGTGTGGCTCTTAGCATTCCTCTTCAGTCTTTTGTCTGAGATTTCAAGTGTAATCCATTTGTTCATAAAATTTGAGTAAACTAAAGGCATTAGCTGGATCTTTTATTTCTAAGTAAAAAGAAAAGGAGTACTTGTGGCACCATAGAGACTAACCAATTTATTTGAGCATAAGCTTTCGTGAGCTACAGCTCACTTCAGCTTATGCTCAAATAAATTGGTTAGTCTCTAAGGTGCCACAAGTACTCCTTTTCTTTTTGCGAATACAGACTAACACGGCTGTTACTCTGAAACCTGTCATTATTCCTAAGTGTTTTTGAAGAGTGTCTTAAATAATTTTTATATGAAAAGCATGGACTTCAGATGAGGGGCGTTTCATTAGCTCTATATCAAAGTACATTTTAAAAATCATTTTTTATTTTTTAGCTTTGTTTTTTCCCCTATTATAAATCAAAATCTTGTAGTCTCATTTGCTCGTGATACTGCTTAATGCTTTACCTTATGCTTAACTTTACACCTGTAAGTAGTCCCATTGATATGAAAGCGCATGTGTTTTACAGGATTGAGACCTTATTTATAATTTGCTACACTTGAAATACTGTTAGCCTTTGGCATTTGTTAGGGTTCTTTCTCTCTCTGTTTGTCTTTAAACAGGAATATTTATAATCACATTAAAAAAATAACTGGTCTCCCAGTCCTTCATTGGGCTCTGCTAGTGTGCATCAGTTTGTTCTTGTAACATTCACTGAAGTCTGAGAGTCTGCACCAGTAGTGAACATTGCAGTATTTGACCCTAGGTGTTGGGCCTTGATTACTGAACTGTCATCTAATCTCAGTCTTTTTTATCAAGCTGTCCATATAAACTAACTTGATGGGGCACTATCAGCTTACAATGGAGTCATGATAGTATAGTCCAGTGGTCCCCAAACTTTTTGTCGCACCTCCCTGGGAGCTGAGAGCAGGTGCCAGGGCTGTGAGCGGAGTTGAGGGGTGCTCCCTTCCTGCCCCCCTTGGGGGCTGGCCTGGGCCCTGCTGCACCCTCTCCGAAAGTTGCTCTGCGCCCTGCCCCAACCCCCAGGAGGGCATGCTCCACAGTTTGCGAACCACTGGTATAGACTATACTAACTGCAAATCTCCTGTCACTTTTTGTGGTCTTATAAATAAATTTTTTTTAATTGTCTTTATCTTTTGCTCTGTGGAAAAAGAGATGTAAGTGGGGGAACTGACTCTACAAAGAAATCTGCAAATGACAATACACAAAGTGCTGTCCAATCCATAAAATACACAAATGGAGAGTTTTTTCTATAAATTTATTAAGTACCTCATGTTTAGTTTGCAACTATTGAGGAAGTTAAGTGTGCTTTTAGTTTTAAAGTTAGAGGTATTTCTTTAATGTACAAGATCATGTTCAGCATCTGTTTCTGGTATGATGCTGTTTTAATGAAAATACTGTTCTGAGTAGTGTGAGATTGTGTGCTGATACAGGTAAGTTCTACCTGAAATATACATTTTCAAAACTTCTTTTCACCTCTTTGATTACTATAGAAAACGGAAGTTTGCTTTCTTTCTGATGCTATCCCTGTGCTGAAACAGCTTTTATAAATTTATAGTTAATCATTTTTGCTGAGATTGATACAGAATTGTTTTTTTTATATGTATATCTTTAAACAAATGGAAGTGCACTCTTTCGGGATATCCGTGATGGCTCCAAACTGGTGTCATAAAATGATGATAGATGTTAGATTTATTGGATATAGAAGGATGTAGTTTTCAAAGTAGGAGAGTCTGAGAACTGCTAAAGAATGATATTGAGGAAAGAAATTTGATAATATCAAACAAGTGTTTCAGTTACTAAGTGTAACAAAGATAGACTTCTTAAAAGGTGGATTGCTTAAATCTCAATTGTAGTTTCCTTATTTCAGGGAAATATTTTGCCTAAAGCCTCCGTGTTGATAACTCCAAATTTCACAGGCAAGGATAGCTCTGGGATTGCCTAACTTTGTTTAAAGTAACTTTCTAAATGTAGGCTTCAGTTTTGATGCTTTGTGAGCACCAATTAGATCTGTGATTGATCTTACTACTTTCTCTAATTTGTCCTATCTGATCAATAGAAGATAGCTGTTTTTCAGCAGACTTACTACTAAATTAATTCTTTAAAACAAACCACAAAGCAACAAAAGTGGTCTTATCACAGTAATTTCCATTCAAATAAATTTGTCCAGTACTCTTGGAAGTGTCTTATCACGTTGTGTATATCAGCATACTGATATGCTTGGATCCTTGAGGTCAAAAGGTATAACCATATTCCTTAGAGCTTGTCTACACTACAAAATTAAGTGACTTTAAGTTGGCATACAACCACCAAAATAATTAAAGCGGCGGTTCATGTCCACACTTGCTCCTTCTGTGGGTGGTGCTCTTCCACCTACTGAAGTGGGGCATTGTGGGACACTGACAGCTGGAGCCTGGCAGCCCTGGGGGGTTGGCAGGGGGCTCACAGTTGCCTCCCCTGTACACAGCTGTCAGGCAGATGCTGGCCTCACAGTTGTGAGCCAGGAGGGGGCTCAATTTCACAGCAGGGAGCCTACCAGCAATTAAATTAACATTCTTGTCAGTTTCATGGCTGCTATTAGTTCACATTTGGGCTCTGGCTATCCCCTTACAGCCTGAGCTGGAGACAAAATGAGAAGAAATAATAGCTGTGAAACTGACAAGACTGTCAATTTCACTGCTGGTGTGCTCTGTGCTGTGAAATTGAGCTCTGGCGACTTGGTCAGCTCTGGGGCTCCCACTGTGGGCCCTGCTTGGAGGATTGACAGCTGGTGTCCTCCTGCCACCTCCTGGTGAGGGATTTGGCGGAAAAGGAAAGTCCAACCCTGGCCAGGCTCTCCTTCCCACTCAG